AACAGTTGCACCATGAACAGGTTCAAAAGCAGAAGATAACAGAGGCAGGGGATACTTGTTTTTGACAGTGATCTGATTTAAACCTCTGTAATCTATGCAGGGTCTGAGAGTCCCATCCTTTTTCCCCACAAAAAAAAACCCTGCCCCCAATGGGGAAGAGGACGGACAGATAATACCTGCAGCCCAAGATTCCTTAATGTATTTCTCCATCGTTTCACGCTCCGGGCGAGAGATGTTGTACAAACGGCTCGATGGTAAAGGAGCTCCGGGCAGTAACTCAATGGAGCAGTCATACGGACGGTGAGGAGGGAGTGAACAGGCCTTGGTTTTACTGAATACCTGTACAAGGTCATGATATTCAACGGGAACGGATGAAAGATCAGGAGGGTCAGCCTCTTGACTGGCAGCCGGAGATGGACCTGGAGGGATGGCAGAACGGAGACAAGAGGAATGACAATGATTAGACCAGGATTCAATACGTTTCTTTGACCAGCAGATTCGTGGATTGTGGAGTGTTAACCAGTCAAAACCCAGAACCACGGGAGCATTGGCAGATGGAAAGACAAAAAATGACATATGTTCACTGTGGTTTCCAGAAATAACTAAAGGTAATGGCTTGGTTCTGTGAGAGATCTTGGGCAGGGATTTACCATCCAGTGCGGAAACAAGAATAGGAGACGGTAAAGGGATGGTCTCTATACCTAGCTGTTTAACTAGTTCAGAATCGATCAGAGTTCGTTCACAACCAGAATCTATCATGACGCACAGGGAAATATGTTCACTACCATAACACAGATCAGCAGGAAGTTGTAGGCGAGGAATATTGTCTTCACCCTTTTGACCCAACAGGTTCCTCACCTTCACTGATGGGTCCTGGAGTTTGACTTCTTAGGACAATTCGCGACGAAGTGACCCGGACCTCCACAGTACAGGCAGAGCCGATTCGTCATGCGCTTTCGGCGCTCCTCTGGGGAGAGCCGAGTATTGCCGATCTGCATGGGCTCAGGCTCGGACTGGAACGGCTGCGACAGCGGAGGTGAGACAGGAGCAGCGGTGCTAACAAACACAGTCCTTCGATTTCTCTCCTTATTTCTTGAACGAATCCGGTTGTCGATTCGCACTGTCAACTTAATAAGATCCTCCAGCGTCTCAGGCT